GTCCCCTCCAGAAAATCACTGACTGTTATTCAGTCCTTGCTTCCCCACCTCATTCTTCCCAGTCGTCAGAGAGAGTTCTTTGTCATCATGCAAACTGTGGTAACATTGTGCATGTTCTCTCCCGATGGCAGGTGCCTGGAGATTTGAGTCAAACATCGGAAGACCAGAGTTTGTCGGATTTTGAAATGTAAGTCCAGGGATGGCCTCTCTCTGGGGCTCTTTAGAAACAGAACTCTTTTGTTTGGCTGTCTGTGAGGACCACGGGGGGAAGCAGAAGGGATTTTTCAAACCCCTTCTGCGGAGGCTGTTTTGATTAGTGTGGCGGTGGGGCCTTGTTCACGGGAATCTGCCCTTCAGGCAGGCTCGACTCCCCTACTTGGGGATTGAAAAGGAGTCCTACTGGCACGGTGGGTTAGGCTTTGGGCTGCTAGCTGCAAGGTTACCGGCTCCAGACCTCTCCTCAGAGCCAGAGGAGGCTGCCTGCTCCAATAATGATGTACAGTCACGGACCCCTACAGGCTCACTGCGTGTCCGAATCCACTGGGCGGCAGGGGGTTGGGTTTGGGTGTGGGGGTGTGCAATCTGTCCTGGCTGCTGTGGGAGCTTGCTCGTTAGAGTGTAACCTGTGTCCCTTCATGGCCACCGTCAGCAGAAGCTGTTCCCAAGGCGAGACTCCTCGGTTCATCACAGTCCTCACTGTTCCCTGTCACCTTACTCTTGCCCACTCTGCTCAGGTCATGACCTGTGTGGCCCCTGGGGAGTCCCAGTTTGCAACCCTGAGCTTGCAGGACACTGGGTGGGTCAGACACATTCCATTTGGCATCCCGACTGATAACCCTCAAGGGATTGGTCTTCTGACTCAGTCTCTCATACGGTTACCAAGTGGGGTGACTTGTAGCAGGTGAATGGAGGAGAGTCAGCTTCCTCAGGAGCAGGGGCCCTCTGGTCAATGACCCATTCTGGAGAGGCAGGGCCAGGCAGACTGGAGCTCCCATCAGGGTGGTGGTGGACAAGCTGGCACCCTGAACTCCTGAGCCTTAATTCCGTATTCACCAGGAGAAGTTCACCTGCCGGCCCTACAGGGTGGGACAGGGAAGGCACTCCGCCCTGGGGCAGCTGTCTGGGTGGGGGAGAAGGTGGCGAGGCTAGGAGTCGGGAGGCTGAGGTGGTGCAGAGTTGACGGACACCCCCAAGTGCAGTGACCTACTGTAGACTCCTCTCATAGCAGGGGTGCTCTCAGCTGGTGGAGAGGAGCTGAAGGGAACCAAGCACCTGCTGAGGGCCGGGCCTGTGCCAGGTGCTTGATAGGGCGCCGGTAAGCCAGAATCCCTGCCCCTCAGCAGCCTCCCCAGAGACCAGCACAGTCCTCCCAGCTCCACTCACTGTCCCCTGCCCTGGAGTCCACGCCGACTCACAGTGAGCCTAGAGGACAGGGCAGAACGGCCGCACAGGGAGCTTGGCAGAAGCAGATACCGCCTACCGTTGAGTTTGCTACCAAGCGCGTCAGCACTGCACCACCAGGACTCCTTAATCTCCACAACCAACCCCAGACCCATTGCCATTGAGTGACTTTCAGCTCATGTTCAGCTTACAGGGCTGCCATGATCGTCAGTCCTTATGAAGCAGCCTGCCTCCTCGTTTCCCAAGCAACAGCAGTCACCCAGCGCTCCCCTCGCTGCACCACCAGGCCGCTTACTAGGGAGTTCCAGTGGTGGCTGAATAATGACACATTATAATGGGAGGTTTCCCAAGGACAGGGACTCTGGGCATCCTCCACTGCTCTGCTCCCAGCCAAGGAGAGTGCCCGCCTGCACAGAGTAGGTCCCAGTGGACGCTTGTTTAATGGGTAAATGAGCCCATGAAGTACAATCAAGGCAGGAGATGGTGATGTGCACCACTAGGTACAGTGCAGTGTGGGGAGCACTCTGAAAGGGGGACACAAGGCCAGCCTGGAAGGTGCGTCTGTCTTCATCTGCCGAGGAAGGTTCTCGAGAACCAGCATGGGGGCCTGACGAGTTGAAGCAGGCTGTTCTGGGCTCTGGTTCCATGAGAGGGCCTTCCTGTCAGACATACAGTTTCAGGGCTTGGAGTGCCATTTGCTCTGTGAGCCCTGGGAAAGTGCCCCCAAGGGCTTATCTTACCCCATGAAGGAGCAGAGCCCAGAAGAAACGCTGCATCCAGAGAGAACCGTTACTGAGGGTTATTTTCTGTGTGGAAATAAGATTCTCATTACTCAAGAGGTTGTGAGAACAGCACATTACGGAATCTTCCACCATCAACGTCCCAGATTGCATTCCAAGTGCAGGAAGCTGGTGAATTTTTATGAGCTGCTCATTGGAGAGAGGAGGGGCTCGGGGAGAAAACAAGCAGCCTGGGTACAGCTTCAAGCAAAGGAGCCCTGGTGGAGCTGTGGGTGAAGCACTGGGCTGCTCATTGGAAGGTCAGCCGCTCGAACCTACCAGCCTCTCCACCAAAAAAAAAATAGGCATTCTGTTTTCATAAAGATTTTCAGCCTCAGAAATCCTATGGCAGTGGTTCTCAACCTTCCTCATGCCGCGACCCTTTCATACAGTTCCTCACGTTGTGGTGAACCCCCAACCATAACATTATTTTCGTTGCTACTTCATAATGTCATTTTGCTACTGATATGAATCGGGCGACCCCTGTGAAAGGGTCATTCGCCTCCCAAAGGGGTCAGGACCCCCAGGTTGAGAACTGCTTGCCCTATGAAGCCTCAGAAACTACTGTGTCCTACAGGGTTGTCATGAGTCGGAATCCACTCACTGGCAGTGGACAGCTTTAAGGAGAGACGGGGCTGGGGCCTTCTAGAACCCTGCAGCACTCTGCTGATGACTGCTTTGATTGGTCTCGATGTTTCAACAGCAGGCAGCTTGTGGGCTCTGAAGGGCCTGGGTCCAGCCAGGGGGCAGGAGGGGGTGATGGCTGCTGTTGCGTGTGTAATACATGCGCAACTCTTGAGTGTGAAATCACCTGATAAGCCCAGACTGTCACCACCCACATGAAACCATCCCAGGGCGATTCCAGGGAAGGGACCACACAGGTCAAAGCAGGGAGTCAGTCACTCATTAGAGGGCTCCATCAAAGTTTTGGATTTGGGTGTGTTTTGCTTGATAGACCCAAACACATAGGGTCGGGACGGTGGGTAGGAGAGATTTGGGCCCCAGGTCCCCAGTTCTCCCGTTTGTCATTATCTGTTGTGTTCCTCTCACTTTCCACCCTTCCCCCAACAGCTGTCCCCCTCAGAGCCAGGGATCTGGCTTCCTGAAGTTTCTTTGGTGTCTGATCTTACGATGGGGTCAGGGTCTCAAGTGGGCACAGGAAAAGGGGGAGCACCTCTCCCATGGACACAGGAAGCTCTGAGGGTGTTATTGCACATGACCCCCTACAGCAGCGGTTCTCAACCTGTGGGTCACAACCTCTTTAGGGGTTGAACCACCCTTTCACAGGGGTCGCCCGATTCATAACAGTCACAAAATTGCAGTTGTGCAGTAGCAACGAAAATAATTTTATGGTTGGGGGGTCACCACAATGTGAGGAATTGTATGAAAGGGTCGAGGCATTAGGAAGGTTGAGAACCACTGCCCTCCAGCCTCATCAGGACCCCATCCTCCAAAAACAACTCACTGCCATCGAGTGGATTCCGACTCGTCTCCCCCTATAGGACGGGATAGAACTGCCCCTATGGGTGTGAGTCTGTCACTCTCTGGGAGTAGAAAGTCTCATTTTTCTTTCTTGAAGAAGCTGGTGGCTTCAAACTGCTGACCTTGTGGCTCGCAGCTGGGTAGCTAGCAGGTTCAGACGAAACAGGGCGAAGATCCTCAGCTGGTGAGACCTCAAAGGTGCTCTTGCTCTTTTAGAACAAAACTGAATGTCATTCAAGCAAGTTCCCTCTCAGCCTATCTGGGGACTGGCCCATAATCTGCTACCAAGTGTAATTAAAACTCGTTGCCATAAGTTGCCGGTGTGCAATTAATACCACTTAAAATAGAAAATGGTTTTCTTCTTCTGTTTTAAAATCTCTTTACTCAATGTTGGGAACGTAGATCTCAGAATATGTGCCCTGCAGCCATGTCTGCATGTCCACTCCGGATGGGTAACCCTTCTCTCCCCACCCCCCACCCCCCGCCATTCACATCAACTCACTGCCTCTAAGGTTCCTGTCTCCTTTTCCCATGGTTTTGTCAAGGTGACCCCATATCGGTTTAGCTTTGAGGACAATGATGAGGATTCGCAGCTTCAGAAACCCACAAGGGAAGCTTTACCCTGCCCTACAGGGTCACTGTGAGTTGGAATCCACTCAGTGGCTATGGGTTAGGTTAGGTTAGTGAAAAATGTCTCTCTCTGTTGTGTTACATGGAAATGACCGTGTGTGCTCTTTCCCTCCCAGATCAAACCGGGCGCTGATCAACGTGTGGATCCCATCTGTGTTTCTCCGGGGCAAGGCTGCCAACGCTTTCCACGTCTACCAGGTGAGCCCTGTCGTCGGTTCAGCTGCGTGAAGCCCAAGCAGCGTGGCCTTGCGGCGCTGCTTTGCCCCTTGATGATAGCCTATTGTACTTAGCAAGCTGTGCTCCCCCACCCCCACCCCCAGGTGCCACGCTTTGAGAGGCCTGTAGCCAGCAGTCAGGAGGGAGGGAGGGAGCAGGGAGGCATGCTTTCCAATGGTGACCTGTGTGTGGCCAGGAGGGCTGGTTTGGCTTATCCAGGGTCGGTCATTGCCAGGCGTGGCTCCCTGGGTGAAGTGCTGGGTCAGGAAGCCCCTGTCTTCCCAGTGTGGTGTCCTTGCTGGCTCCTCAACATGTCCCCAACAGTGCCAGCCTCTCCACCTGGCTCTCACTGGCCTGCGTGGGTTCACAAGCCCATCCGTGAACCTGCGGCGGCCTGGGACCTTTGGGATGGAGTCCAGGTGTGGCCACCTCTGGGGCTGGGAGCCACACACATTAATAAGATGAGGCAGCTCCCCAGTGAAGGCCCGGGCAGCTCTGTTCAGAGGCAGGGACCATGAGTACCTGAGAAGCAAACCTGAGAAACTGCCACTGCAGAACTGTCACCAGGGACTGACTGCCACACCCAAGCTCATGGCTTAGGAGGCTGGAGGTCCCCACTCTGGGTGCAGCTCTGGAAGTCTCTGCTCTTCTTCTGGGGGTGGCATCTCTCGCCCCCAGCTCTGCTCTCTCCCTGCCGTTTTCTCTGTCCAGAGAGCCGTGTAAGTAAGTCACATTGTATTCTAACTCTGCTCATGAAAAAACCTAAAGGAGCCATTGCCAAATAGGATTCCAGCCACCAAAGGGGTTAGGGTTTATAACACATCTTTGGGGGAAACAGCTCAGCCCGTAACAGATGACCACTCTTGGTTGGGGGCTCAGTGTCTGAGGCTAGTGAGACCTTTGCCTGCTGGGCAGGTGACATGGCCATCAGCTTAGACTGGCTGATGCTCTCAGTCCTGCCTGCTTACCCTCATTGTTGCTCCCTTTTCTCCTCCTAACCGGGAACCCCAATTCCCAAATCACCTGTCTGCGCCTGCCAGTCTTTCCAACCCTGACTTCTGTGTCACAATGGTTTTCAGTAGGTTTTGTTCTTATGCCTTCAGACTCTGTGAAAAGCCTTTGAGCTCCGTGCCCATTGGTCTTTGTAGGGAGTTGACCCATGGCAGAAGACCTCTCCTATGGAGAAGGCTTGGTCTTCGGTAGCAGATACAAGTGGAGGGGACGTGCTAAATAGAAACAGGTATGAACTCGCAGCTGCACCCCTTGAATTCTCATGTGCAGCTGAGTTTGTACCATCTTACCCCCAACCAGACTCAAACCAAACCCACGGCCACCGAGTCAATTCTGACTCCCAGTAACACTGTAGCACAGGGTAGAACGGCCTCAAGACTGTAACTGTTTACTGTTATCCAAAGTCTCCGCTTTCTTCCTCGGAGCAGCTGGTGATTTGAACTGCTGACCTTGTGGATTGCAGCCCAATGGATAAGCCCTGCGCCACCAGGGCTCCTTCATCTTAGCCCGCAGGCCATTCTCATTGACACGTTCTGCCGGACAGCAGAACAATTTAGGAAGCGTCAGATGAGATTGTGTGTTCCCGGTACGCTCAGCTCTCCTTAAGAAGCAAATTGGATATGACATTTCAAATATCTTCTTCTCTCTTTCCCCCTTTCCCACAAACCAAACGAACAAAAATCTCCTCTCGGAGAACCCTTCAGATTGGGCTTCTCGTCATCAGAAAGCTGGGAGGTGTCACCTGGCGGGCGGGTGTAAAAAGTGAAGGCGCGAGCGTGATTTCGAGCGAAATGAAAATGCGATGCCACTGGAGAGGTCCCGTGCCCTTTCCCCTGGGCCTCTCTTCCTGCTCACCCCACGAAGCGCCCTGGCGCTTTAGCTTTGCAAAGTCCGCTATGAAATGAGACGGACACCGCGAGGATGCCGTTGCCTGGGAGACTGTTTCCACCGCGGGCAGAGGGCTTTCATGCCACTCTCTCCCTGTCCCTCCCTGTCCTCAGAGCGGTCCTGGACGTGCTCCAAGGACGGGGCCAAATGTCAGCGAGCCACAGGCCTGCCCCCAGCATGCCCAGGCAACACACACGCCCCGGGGCAGGCTGCCCCCACCCCCCATCCCACCCCGGCACTGGGGGGTGTGAGCCAGCCCCTCTTGCTTGAAGTTCCTTTTCTCTTATCAGCTCCCAGGGCTGTTGGGTTGGTTACCTCAAGAGCACAATTGGAGCTTGTGTGGGCAGCATTCTAGAAATTCTTTGCTGCATTGGTTCAAGCATAAATGATATGGGATAGAAGGTGGCTGGTTGAAGACCCGGGAACCAATGTGCACTCTTTTTCTTCAGTTTCTTGGAAAAAATGTGTTTTATTCCACAAAGTATACATAGATCTGGAAGACAAGTCACTTCCAGGTTTGCTGGATGCCCCCCAAAGGCAGGCAGGAGCATACAGCCCAAAGGAACAGACGATGCGGTTGTGGAGAAACGAGACTTGGGAGGACAGTTGGGAGGGTCGACCAGTGCGTGTCCGCAGGGCAGTTGTGCTCTCCACCATGTGGCCAGCCACTGTGGCTGCGGCAACCACAACGAGGAAACGGAGAGCCGGTTTCTCAGGCACTAGCCCTGTTTCAAGGTCGTAGTAGCCGCACATGAGAGTGGGCGCCGTTTTGAGCGGATGCAGAACATCGCCTCATTGCAGGCGCTTCATTGGGTGGTTCTGGTCCAGAACAGTGTCACCCAGAGGATAAAACGGAATGTTCCAGAAGAACCGTTCAGGCAGGAACACGCTCCCTCCCTTTGCAGTGTCTCCTGACTCTGAGGACACGGAGGAAAAGTGCCAGCATGCTGCCTCTTAGCGCCCAGCTCCCGTCCGCTCCTCTGGGTGGTGCACGCGGTGCGCTCTGAAAGGCTGCAGCTTCGAGTCCACTCACAGGTGCCGCAGAAGAAAGGTCTGGCAACCTGCTTCTGACAAACCCTGTGCAGCAACTTTATATTCAGGCGCACATGCCGGCCCCCAGATCGGCATCGGCACCACAGCAACAGGTCTGGTCTGTTCTAAAACAAGATGGTGGGGAGGGGGCATGCCCTGCTTTTGGCAGGCAACACACTTGAGTTTAATGGTGTTGTTTTGTTTTTATTGTGTTTAGTTGGCATTTGTCTTTTATTTATTTTTAAAATCATTTTATTGGGGGTTCATATAACTCTTATCACAATCCATCCATCCATCCAGTGTGTCAAGCACATTTGTACATTTGTTGCCATCATCATTCTGAAAACATTTTCTTTCTACTTGAGCCCTTGGTATCAGCTCCTCATTTCCTAACCCACCCCCCTCCCCTGTCATTTGTCTTTT